CAAGACGTAATAACAATTTATAATTAAGATCAAATTATAATTTAAAATATGTGATTTATCTACCTAAGCATGAGAAAATTACTTTCATTTTATACATACGTTAACAGTAATAATTTATCCCAGATAAGTTCTTAAAAAAAGTTTTCTCTCACAGTGCATAGCGATGTTAATAAATCAAAGCTATTATACTTTAAAAGCACATTTATAGTTCGCTAGATCCAATTCTCCATGCGAATTTATGTATCACTTATGCCGCGTACAGTTACAATATCTGTGAAGTTTAAGCGAACGGTTTACGTACAGTTGTCCGGCTTGGACCGATGAATTTCACAGAATCCGTTGCATCGTGCGATCGGAATAGCAGTAATAGCAACGGTTAAAGAATCATTCGACTAAATATCCGTTCTTGGCATGATCAAATATCTAAATTTCGTATAATTGAATAATAATTCGAGAAAACCAACGACGCTATAATATATTTAACATCGAATTTCGCATTGCGAAATAATTAATAATGTCGAATATAATCAAATCTGGGGTAAATATATACCAGAACACTGAAAATACGTACTTGAATTTGATCAGATTAAATCGATTATTTCACGAACGACTTCGATGACATAAACCGGTATCACTTTATGACAACTGAACGTGCATATCTATATACTGTCTGTTATGTTCGAATGACATTAATGTACTCGAGATGAGTATACTTTAATTGTATGAATATTCTTTTAGTTGTTTAAATGCACGTTCTATACCAGATTTCAATACCATAATAATAATTACTTACAGAAAATAATTTACTTATTATTCTGCAAGAATACTCATGCATTCCTAATTTTATCATTACACATAGTTTGAAAGTGAATAGTTTAATATCCTGTTTCTGCAGCATTTAAAGCTTACAAGCGTGGTAATAAAACTTGCGTTTGAAGTCTTTCTACTCTACAGTAGGCTTGATTTATTTCTGATTTCCTCCATTTTTCAAGCAATTCAAAATAGAAACGAATATCGACTAGTATTACGTGATGGCGCGATAACTTATAGAATGTTCTACATTATCTATTGAATTATGTAACCTTTTTTTCTCAGGAATTAGAAAAATAGATAGATATTAATGTTTTTTAAAAAATTAGAAGCATTTAATCAATTGTTTTAAGAAATTAGTTTAAAAACAAATTACGTTGATATTCTTATGCATATTTATTTGCTTCTTTTATTCTCTGCGTCTTGTATTTTTATCTTTTGCGTGTTTATTTTTCAATTTCCCATTTTTCAATTTATAAAAGTTTGTAAAATTCGCCTTAAGGGGATCTTAAAGACATTTGTTTTACCGATTAAACACTTAATTTTTGTATAACAATTAAGTGTTTAATCGGTAAAACAAATGTCTTTAAGATCCCCTTAAGGCGAATTTTACAAACTTTTATAAATTGAAAAATTTTTTCTTCTTCTACAGATTCGAAAATTTAAATCCTTTTCCAGGATTACAGTATACGCATTAATTTTGAGATCTTTACTATTTCTTAGTCCGATATGGCGCTGTCACGTCGTGACAACATTTGCTTGATATAAAAAGTTGTGCAATCTGTACTTACGAAATAGTAGTCCACAGACTAGTAGATTGCACGAAGAAACAACGTGGAATTCTTAAAATTGGACTTAGAAGTCCAATTAAAACGCTACGAAAATTTATATATGTGTGCATGAGATATTGATGTAATAGTAGTGATATATCACTGACACATAAATCGTCTGTGTGTAAATCTTAATCGGTAAAACAGACGAATCTTTAGGATTCTCTTCAGTATACCCTGAAGGACGTCACGCTCCGATAAGACTCGCTGTTCTTAACTTGTATTGTTTTTGTTCCTTTTTTCTTTTTCTTTTCTTTTAGCCAAACATATACGATTTCATAAACGCGTAGTTTAATAAATTACTTTCGTATATTATGCCGTGACAATTAAAGCAGTTATACATAAATACTTAACGGCAGTGTATTGAATGTCGAAACGAGGCCGTTGTTCCCTATCACAGGAAGCAAATGGCACTTTAAATTGCCGGCCGCACGCACGTCATCATCTTGTCGAGGGATAACTGCACACGATCCTTCTCTCGTGTGGATGCAATCTTGATTCGACCGACATGGGTGCCACTCGGCTTTTATCCGATCGTTTGCGACGAAAGGCGCGAGTCTTAGACGGAGACAGACGGCGATCGAGCGATCATTTTTTTTTCCTATTTACTGCACGAGTGAGATTCAAAATATCTCTTGACAACTGTCTTTTCCCGGTAAGAACGCTACTTTCACGTTCGAATATATTTATTTTTATTTATACTTTGCTAATGTATAAACGCATTTGGGTTTCCGTGCAACGTCGTTACCAACGATATTTAAATCATCTGGATCATATATGCATAAATTTCACATAAATTTCATATTCTAAGAAATGAGAAAAGATATAAAATTTGCCATGAATAGTGATATCTTCAAGAGGACTTTCCAAGATGATATTGCTTCCGATAGTTTTAAAAATAAAAAATTAATTTTTAATTTTATATTTCGTCTATAATTCTATAGTTCGTATAGATTCTGTCGCGTTACTCTTCGTAGGTACATCGAATGATGTTAATACGTGGAGATGCAATATGTGCAATATTACGTGACGCGCCTGTTGCGCTACGACCGACTTTATCGGGGATGTCAGGTTGTGATACTTGGATCGTACAACCGTTACCAAGATGAGAGCCGGGGGTCAAGCTTAGTCGTGCATATTGGTCTTTATACACGTTTTCTCTGCGAGTAAAGATTACAATAAGAATGTTTAGATGCGACGATCGATAAATGCTCGATATCTCGTAATCATGTATTATGTACTTGTTCTAATCATTTTCAAGAGATACATGATTACGAGATATCGAGCATTTATCGATCGTCGCATCTAAACATTCTTATTCAAGAAGCTAATACAATTTTAATTATAATTGCTTATCTCTGAATAAATCCTATAGTAAATTAGTTAACCTTCGTGAATTAAAAGATGACAGTGACCTTTCATATTACATCATTGTAAATATTGAACAAACTATACTAATAAAGTTAAAAAAAAAGGAGCGTCTTAATTTGTAAATGTTGATTAAACGAATTTATAAAAAATTTCACGCTTGTCATTATGCATCTATATTTAAGAACCATATTCTAAGAATATTTTAATAGTATGGAAATTTGCATAAAACATTTATTTTTAGAATCAGAGCAATTATCAATTTATTTACTCGAACGGAAGAATATAAGTCTACAGCATTTAACGAGTACTAAATATTTCTATGTATGCATTTTGCGTATACCGCAATTCTTTAACATCAAATGTTCAAACGTTTAACAGTGACCATACGCTGTTGACGATAAACAATTACAATAAAGAGTCACGACAGCATTATATTTTATATCACAATGGCGTTCCATCGATCAGTTACGAACATCAGATGCTATATTATAATTTCCTTGACAGATAATATCTAGGTTGCGCCATAACTCATAATACGTTATTGTTATCAACTTATAACCCATTTCCTTTGTTCGCATCTAGCACAATTATGCATAAGAACAGCAATCCGATGTGCGAAGATGGCTTGTCCTTCGACAGTTGAATTAATTATTCAACTTCCATAAATTAAAAATAATTGAATAATTGTAACGACTAATTTATAGAGATATCACTCGATTGACGACGAATTGCTTTTTACAATCAGAATTAACACAAAAATGTTTAAAAGGTTAGAGCTATTACAATGTTAAGAATAAAAAAAAATTGTGACGAATAAAAACCTGCTTCGTTATCGATGACTCATTAAAGAAATATCAAGGCCGATTTTTTATAAAATCTGTCGAATAATATGGTAAAATGCCGGTTTACTGTGTATGAATTCATCGCGCGTTCTCATTATTCGTCGATAACGGAAATTAAATCCTTCGCTCGTTTTTCAATTGATGTCATTAAAACCGATTGAATTGGGTCATTAAAGCGTACAATCGTGTGATATTCGCTGATTGAACGAGAGCCACGTATTTAGCTCTTCTCTAGGCTTTCACACACTTTCATAATTTGTAGCGTGCGGCCGCGAACGGTATTCGACGAAATTCTATGCACCGGCACGGACGTATGCGTGTGCATACAGTTCCTGATTTCTCTGATAATGAGAGAAATAAAATGGAGAACAATCGATGTCCTTCGCGTGATCGCACGCATCTTAATTTTTAATCGATAAGCAAAATATGAATTTTTTATCTTTATATTACTAATTCCGATTGCGCGTGCAACGCAACAATTCAATCAAAACTATTTCAACATATCCGCAGAAACACGGATCAATATACAGAATCCAGTAAAAGTAAATTGAGGTCACGATCGCTTTAACGGTAATTTCTTCAGACAGTCACTTCGTTCACGAAATCGTCAGAACGATCGATACTTAATTGCGTCACGAAATTTTCGCCAATCTTATGACCATCAATCACAACGTGAATTCTTTGATTAAGTAGATCGTACACATTTCTCTAATTCTTGTTTAAACTAACTTTAAGTTTATATTTACATTTATTAAATGTGCTTAGCGAGAGAGAAGATTTTCTTTATTAATTTTCTCAAACTTTCGATGGATCGTCGAGAACAGACCTGAAAAAACGTATTTCTCGAAAGGTTGGGAATAGGCTTAAGTATATATCGTGAATGGTATATTAAGAAACTTAACAAACTTGAAACTTTTATGAATACATTAAAAAGTAACATTCTTACCTATCAAACTAAATCTCGATACCTACTAGCGGATTCTGGTACCGTTATATTATGCGCTTCATAGCCACATAAAATAAAAACTTTAATAGTGTTATTATACTTTCCAACGGAATATTGCTTCGGTGTCGAACCAATCCGGATTTCAAAACATACAAGTCGGATCATCCCTATAGCCACTGACTATTTCTACATTCTACTTACGAAAAATATAGAGAAATGAATCGGTCGTGACCGTCAGGATAGCCTGGTCGAGAGATCGTCAGCCTTTCGAATCCGTCCAGAAGACGTCCCGGGGTGCCCGGGTCGCATCCCGTGACACTCAACGATGACCTCCGTTATCAAGGGAAGAGGAACGGATCCGCGTTAATACGCCGGCACCATTGGCGTATCACGTCATCTCGCAGTTCCTTCTCGTTCTTATCTTTAGCTGATCCACCTTGGAATCAGGAAGAATGCATTGGCGATCACTATGTAGTATCCACTATGTTTTCTTCTTCTGAAACCGGATATCCCGAAGAAAACAACACACGTTAAAGGACAAAACACGAACCGGACGCGCTTTCTTCTCCCGACTATTCGCACATATATATATGTATATATATACGTGTATATATATATATATGTGTATAGATATATATATGTATATACGT